GCCTTGCATAGGATGATCATAAGCCTCTGAGTCTAGATCAGGGGTCCTCAAACTTTTTGAGCAGGGGGCCAGTTGAAAGGTGCTGGCGATGGGCATGGGCAGCCCAAGGCAGTGCGGGCAGGGGGTGCGGGCCGGGGGCGGGGCGTGCGCACAGAGATCGTTTTCTCCGAGCGAGTCCAACACGATCTCCTTGTGAGCAAGTCATCACCTTGCCATGTGCACGGTGAGGTGCTGGCTTGCTCGCAAGGAGATCATCTTGGACTCGCTCGGAGAAAACGATCTCCTTGGGAGCAAGCCGCTGCACGAGGAGGCACCAGCTTGATCACAAGGAGATTGTTTTGGACTCACTCAGAGAAAAGGAACAAGCCGCTGCTGGACGTGGGCATGGCGAGGCACTGGCTTGCTCGCAAGGAGGTCATTTTGGACTCACTCGTGCACACGCAGCAAGTCCAAAACCTCTATGGCGGGTGGATAAATGCGGGGGGGGGGGGGCGGATCCAGCCCGTGGGCTGTAGTTTGAGGACCCAAGGTCTAGAGGCTTACACTCCTACGGATAGAACCCTAACATATCTTAAGGAAGACAACTGGAGTGCTAATGAGGCTGAAATCCTACCCATATTTTCATAATCATCAGTTAATCTGTCGTCTACTTTTCCATGGTGAAACCATGCTCAAAGCAGTTTAAAGCATCATCAGATAAACTCATATCATCAAACATTTGCAGATAATTCTTGTAACAGGTTCAAGCCATACCACAAGTTTAACAGGAACACACATAAGTGAACCAAAACATCTGACATCAATAAATATAGACCAAGGTTAAATAATTAATCATAATGCATATTAGGACCAAAGTTTTTTTTAAAGAAAGAAAATCTAAACATTAGGAAAAATAACTGCAAGCACAGCAGTCTTTGTAACTGGAGTGAGCCAGGATCCCAACCTCCTGAGCTAGGTGGAAATGAACAAGAGTAACTGGGACCAGGGCCTGCAGGACTCAGACCAGGTGGCCTCTCCTGTGAGGAAAGCCCATGGAAACCCACAGGATGCACATATACACAGAGCTGCCCTGTAAAATTAGGCTTCTACAGTGGGGGCCGGCTTGCATCTCTTTGCTTTCTTGTTTACTTGAATCCCTGTGGTTCAGCACATGCAGAAGGGTATTGGGTCTCTTAGGGCATCTGCATTAAATAAGCCATGATTATGAACTCTTTCTTTAAGAATTCATGAAGCACTGTGCTGTTTTATTCTTTGTAAGAATCCCAGGAATGAACTGTACCAGAAACTGATGGTGATTCACTAAGAAATTTCATCTACCCTGAATGACCTTCTGTTGGATGTTCTCCTTTTTTGTGTGGAGGGGTGTGTCATGGATTAGTACAGCTCTTTTTTCCTGAATTAGGCACAGTAAAAGAAGTGGGTTGCACAGAAGGTACAGAAAAAGCCAACATCACAACTGTCCATGCCTATTGTTTGCAATTGTTTATTATTATTAGAACATTTCTATGCCGCCCCTTGCCGAAGCCTCTAGACAAAAGAATTAGGAATAGGAGGCATGGAACTATCTTCAAGTTTTCCCTCAAGTGCAGAGATTGCATCAGGAGGGGAAGCTGTGGGGCAAAGAAGTAGGCATCAAAATGCTTTCATGTAGTGACATGATGGGTAAGAGAATGTGAAGGATTGCAACTTTTTGGGAAGACAAAAAGGAAATGGTGTATATGTAAGCAAATGAAGTAGAGATTCATGCCCTAACAAGTGTCAAAACCAGAGACAGTGATTGGGTTCAGACAATATGATACCCCATACTCAAGTGTAGAGTATGGATTGTTGAAACATGGGTTATCATGTTGTCGGAATCTAGCTGAGATAACAAACCATGGTAAACAACTCAGAGTTCACAGCCCAACAACAAGCCATGAGTCTACTAACAAACCATGACTGGTTAGTAGATGAATTCAGACATGATAACCCATGATTCAATAATTCAGACATGACAACCCAGCTTTCACATGAGGATATCAACATTCTGTGATTTTTGGACACTGATATATAAAATACTTCTGACATGCAAATAATGATCCTGTCATTTGAAGGCTTTCCATCTTTCCAGAGCATTATAAAGCACTTGTTGTAGACTGGCTGCTTCCTACTCCTTCCCCTGGTACTAAAAATGCTCAGTACACACTTCATTTAATCTTGTGAAACCCTCAGAGAGATTTGCTCAAGCGCCGATTAAACAAAAAGAACATCTCAGTGTTTCATCTGATTTTGGGTGAGCCTGAAACTGTCCACCAGCTTGATTTCATTTTTATTCAGGCTACGCCTTTCTTTGCCTAGAGGTGTTATGAATGAATCAATATGTCCTGAAGGACTTTCCCCATCAGACTTCAAAGCATTACTTGACTCAACAATGCTCTCTCTGTGAGTGCAAGGGAAATAATACTTGAGAAGTTAAAGAGTACAGCACAAGAACTTGCCCCACAAATGGTACCTGGGATGGGAAATGAAGTGAGGAACAACTCAAGTAGCTTAAGTTTAAAAGAATGACTTGACTTTCAAGAACTGTTCAAGAGACAACTATGAGGATCTCTTTGATGTGCCAATCATCACATCAGAAGAAAATGCATCTAAAGGCATTCACTAAGTTTCTATACTCATAGAACCAGCTAGATAGAGAAATGCAGAATTCAGTTGCTCCTGGTTCAATATCATAGAAACAGAGCGAGTCAGAAGGGGCCTCCTGGGCCATCTAGTCTGACCTCCGGCACCAGCCGGCTCCGCTCACGACATGCCCACCATGTGCACGTCCAGCCTATCCTTGAACACCTGCACCGATGGGGCCTCAACGACTTCTCGTGGAAGCCCATTCCACATATCATTTTTCTTTAGTTAGTCCATTTCATTTTATTACATTTCTGTGCCACCCAATAGCTGTAACACTTAACCTTGGTTGACAATGTTGAAACCAGGCAAGAATTATTGGGCAGATCCTTCCAGAATTGAGGTACTGCCCCTAGAAAGGTCCTTTATCTTGTTGCTGCCTTCTGAGCCTTGCTTGGAGGAGGCATATGGAGGAATTCCTTACATGGTAAACGTAGTTTATGAGTAAGTTCATACCAGGAGAGATGCTTCACAATAGGTAGTATGATTCTGAGCTACATAAGATCTTATTGGTCAAGACCAGCACCCTGAATACAGGCAGGCAGTGCAAGTGGCCCAGAATCAGTGTTACAGATTCAAACCTTCTGGTCCCTGATATCAGTCTGGCTGCTGCATTTTGCACAAGCTGCAGCTTCTGAAATGTCTTGAAAGGCAGCTCCCAGGTGTGTTGCGGTAATCCAGCATGGAGGCTACTTTATGTGGACAGGTATGACCTGGCAGCTGAAGACAAGTTATCCCGGCCCACACAGAGATGCCACTGGACCACCAGCAAAAGTTGGTGGAAGGTACTCTATCTCAATGAGACCACTGAGTTCTCAGGGGAACCTCAGGGAGACTGCAGCCCAACCCAGAGCAGACGCCAGCTCCCTCCAACTGGCCAGAAAAACCACCTCCTAACGACATTCTGGTTGTGCCTGGACTGAGTTTCAGTTTGTTAGCTCTCATCGAGTCTATTGTTGCAGCCAGGCATGGTTCTAGAACATCCATAGCCTCTTCTGCTGAAGATGAAAAGAAGAAATAGAGCCCCATGTCATTAACATACTGATGATAGCACACTCCAAAACTTAAACGTGCAAATGAGAAATGCTCTGTGCCTTTTCCCACTTTGAACTCCTTTCCCCCATTTCTTCTTCCAATTTACGCCCTCACTCCTGACAGGCTTCTTAAGATTGAAAAACATGCTTTACACTAAAATTCTATGCATGACTGCACAGAAGGAAGCCCCACTGAGTTCTATACGACTTACTCCTGGGCAGCCTTAATCAAGAGGAGAGCCATTCTGTTTCCCACAGTGTCTGACCAAGATGTTTATGAATGCTCACTAACAGCACACAGAGCTGTCCTTTCTCTGGCGCTCAAAGGGATATCCTGCCCCGAAGTTCCATTCTGTTTATATGGCATCTGGAATCAAATACTAAAAGCTGCGGAATCTTCCCCGTGCAATCAGTAACAAGAGATTGCAGCTTCCAAAATGAAAATCGTGTTGCTGTTTCTACTGACGATGGAAAACGGGAATATTGAAATTATGCCCGAGTCAAATGTGCTGCCGCTCGTCCTTAACGTTAGTACATCGAGTAACTAAGTTCGTACTAGTAAAACTATAACAATATTAAATGAAGTTCTCAATTCCCCGCCCCGCGGAAAGAAAAACAGATTTACAGCAAGGTGCAGGCATTCTCTGGATTATGATTGGATAAATCAGGCCAATGAACATTCAGGAGAAGGCAGTAGTTACACAGGCCAGAGAGGAAGGGTGATCTGCGACGGCGCCCGAGTGCGAGGAGGAGATTAACCAGTGGGAAGGCAGGAACTTGGTATAGCTGCTTTAATGTTGGGTTTGTTTCGTTTCCCGGCGCATCAGAAAGGTAAGGAACGGCGGTAGAACGTCGGCGTTGTCAGCGTTCGGTTTTGGAATGTTCGTTGCAGCTGCTGCGTTGGGCACGTGTTTCTCCCCCAGTTTGGCTTCCGAAAGGAAGTAGGATTCATGTGCGTGCCGGGGGATGAATGGGGGCACCTGCAGGAGACGTGGTGGTGTCGGAGGGGAGGATTACGAGCTTCACGGCAAGGATCTAATTTATCCAAAAGGTTGTATGTTTTGGCCTCCTTCTCTTCCCCGACACAGTGCTTAAAGCGAAATATTTTATGAGGGGAATGTTTGCTTTTTTTCTTGAGGCCGCGGTAGTTGCTGCGGCTGCTGCTGCGGCTGCTGCAGCAGATTCCCTGGGTAGAGATGGGTTAATCCTGACTGCTCCCGCTACTGCTTTCTAGGGGGGAGGGGGAGAACCTGGACCGCCTGTAGTTGACAGAAAGTGTTGGAAGGAGGATGAAAGTTTATGGCACTTTGATTTAGAAATCGGAGACCCTGTTTAGATTCGGGAAGGTCAGCGGTGTCCACTTCTAAGGAAATTTGGTTTAAAATCAGGATCTGGGAAGCAGGAAGGGGAAAGAATCAAAGGTGAGAAAAATCGCGTAATCTATCACTCTATTTGCTTGGTAGCCTGCTGACCCATCTCTTTTCTCTCCTAGTAAATCCATCCGCCTCTGAATTTAATTTTGGTATGAGTAAGACCAGAAGTAAATACACCAATTCCCGTTTCTTTTTAAAGCCCAGGACTTGTGCTTTCACGGGAGTGACTAGCAATCCAAACTTGTATGTTTCTTCAGAAGTAATTCTCAGGGCGCTCAGTGGGCCTGATTCCCAGTTATGGCCGTAGCTTTTAGCAGGGATCGATGTTGAGGACCGCGGAGCTTGCTTCCAGGGGAGCATGCATAGGAGCGGGCATAGGATTTTCCGTGCGCTCTCGTGAACACCCATCGTGTTCCCCTTGCACAGGCAGCTTTGTGATTCCCCACCCCCCTAAACTGAGGGCGTGAGTATTGCCCAATTGATCTAGTAAATTGCGAAGCTGTGACTACACATGCAGTAGTAGAATGAGGTGACAGAATGCTGAGAACGGGCCGTGGAATGCGAAAAGGGTCGTGCCACTTCAGCCTGCCGCGGGGAGATGCTGCTTTTGTTACTCTGTGTATGAACCTTCTGCTAGATTGAGAACTGGCACTCCAGGGAGAAAGAGCCTATTATCATTCTTTCTCTAATAGGCTGCTTTTCTGTTGTAGTGAGGTTTTGACATACCAGAGCATTCAAAACTGATCCTCCACCTGTGTTCTCAAGTGGTACAGTCCATTCTACCACCTCATTCCACTGTATGTGTAGAGGTGGCCTGAGGGGGGCTTTCAGAGCAAAGTGACTCCCTAGATGTTGGACTACATTCCCACTATTCCTGACTATTGCTCCTGCTGACTGTGGTTGATGGGAATTGGAGTCCATCGTTGTGGAGGCCCACAAATTCTTCAGTCTTGTTTTATGAGGATGGGGAGGGAGAAAAGATGGGGCTCTGCCTTGGTTACTTGCCACAGAGAGTAAAGACCACTATTTAATAGACTGGAAATGTCATTAGTGCTTATACAGACTTTCCCAGAGATCTTTCTTTTTCTCTTCTCAGCTGCTGATCATGAGGAAGAAAGCCGAGATTTGGAGGAGAGCCTTGGATCCCTGGCTTAGAACCACAAGTTGAATGTTACACTACAGGAATAATGCATTTTCTATAAATAAACTCTTTCTTCTGCCTGATACTGCATCTGCCCTGTGCCATGGGCTTTAGGCCTCTTTGAAACAAGGGATGGTTCTGTCTTGAGAGGATCTGCCTATGTGGGAGTGTATAAAGTATAAAGACTGAACTTGAGGAGAGTTGGAGAAATAATGGAGGACTTTACCACCAGAACCTATGGGACCAGAGGGCTTGACAATAGGCCACTCTTTGGAGAGACTTCACCAAGGGTAAAATGAACTTCTTCATGGTTGCTTTCTCTCTATCTCCCTTCCAGGAATGAAGTTTGTTGGCAGGGCTGATCCAAGTCAATTTGTTAGCCCAGATGGCTTCATATTTGGGATCCCTTACAATATGGTAATGGTGGCTACAACTCAGCTTGAATGTGGCTGCGTGCAATCCAAAAGCTGTCCCCACTGGCCAAGGGTTTAGCGATGCATCTCTCTAAGTGAGTGCTAGTTCAGTGGCACCTCTAAAGCAAAAACTGTGCATGCGGTGGAGAGGATCATTGGGAGGAGGACATATACCACTGGCATTGGTTGCATTTTTCTGTCATGTTTCTAATCCTTGGTGGGGTGTCATGTTGGGGGCTGGTGGTTTCTGAGATGTGCACAAGTGATCATTTCCATCAAACAGTTGGGTTGTGTAATGTGTACCAGTCTTGCACAATTGCATGCCTTTAGCATGCATACATGCCATGTTTAAATACTTGCTCACTGCTGCACTTTTATGAGAGGGCTTAGTGCTACAGTAGTTTGACAAAACATTTGCAGTGATAGATGCACCTTGGAATTCTCCTGTATTGTGTGGAATTATTTCAAGAACCCCTCTCTTGAAGTGCCTGGTTTTTTATGAGTCTGTGGTCTAATCAAGTTGAGCTACAGAACTGTGAACTTTGAACCACTTTGGTTATGTGGTGGTTTCATGAGACTTTTCTTGCTCATCCAATAGCAGCTGTGCAGTGCCTGAATTCCTTTCACGAGCGTTCATTAGGCAATACTTGTGCCTTAAGCTGCCCATGCTTGCAGTGTTGCACCCCAGCTGATGCCCTGCACGTCATGTGGTCCCAGAGTCCCACCATCTGCTACAGTTTTGTAGTGTTGGGAAAGGAACCCGTGAGCCTCCAAATGTCTACGGACCGTAGCTTCCATCAGTCCTACCACTGGCCATGTTGACGGGGCTGAGGGAGTGCAAGAGCATCTAGGGCGGGTTGGCAGCATGGCTCCCGCAGGCATGGCACCACTCGCCAAGACCCCTGCCTCCCGTCCAGCTCTCTGCTCGATCGACACCACTTCTTCCTACTTCCACAACCAAGAAAGTCTGTGTCATCTGCAGCGACGCAGTGAGAATGATGGCACCCAGGCGTGTGGTGGGGGCGGGTGGTGCAAAAATGTGGCAGTGCAAGGAAGACACGCAAGCAAGTGACTGGGCAGGAGGAGCAGAACTGGTGGATATGGCAGGGGAAAGGAGATCCCAGGTAGCAGGAAGAGGGGGAGGAGGCAGCAGGGAAGGGATGGGAGCAAGCGCTATGGCAAGGAGGAGCAGAGTGAAGTGGAGGTGGTGTGGGGAGGGAGTTGCAGATGGAGGGGGAGGGAGGCGGCAAAGGAGTCTACGTGGCGTTGCATGGGAGAGAGCCTCTTGGAAAAAGGGGCAGATGTCCCCGAGGGTTCGAAAGATTGCCTACCCCAATCTAGATGGTTACATGTTTTCCACTTTGTTTTAGAGGATAGGGGATTCTTGTCAAGCTGAGTGGAATTTTTCCTGTTCTGTCTGTCTCCCATTCCCTCCTCCCTTGACTGTGGTTACATATTCCCTCCAGAGACATTGGCAGTTAAAATTCCTGTGCAGATACCAGGGGTATGAAAGCTGCAGGCCAAAACATCTGGAAAGCCATAGCTCCCATCAGCCTTAGTCAGCGTGTCCCAACAGTCAGGAGTTCTAGGAATTGTAGTCCAAAAACCTGGAGGGTATCAAAGTGAGGAGACTGGCATATACTGTATCTATACAGCTCTGTACTGGTTTTCTTCCTTGACTCCTCCTAGTTGCTGAAGACTGTTTTTGCTTGAAAATGTGATAGGCTTTGCTCCCACCTTTCTGTCCCCACTTCCATGTTTGGTTTTCTTTGGGTTTCCCCTATTCTCCCCACCCCACCCCACTCAAATACCGATTTAGAACCACATATCTTACCTATAGACAATGCAATGTTGGAATAATATGGACTACATGGTTATCCTGAAGTGTTTACTAGTAATTGTTTTTACAAAATTAAAAAGCAAACAAAAGAATAAATGGGAAAGGGAGAACTTAAACAATTAATGTTGTATGGGGTGAGGAGGGTGGGGGAAGCATAGAGTTCCATCTTGGCTTCAGTGGTTCTTGAAACACCTTATGAACAAAGGCAGTCTCTTAAGTCTGTCAGCATGATAACTATAAAAAACCTCTTGAGAAATGTGTTGACTTTGTTAAGAAAACAATGCCCCACTTTTAAACAATACAATATGCTTCTGAAAAACTTAGTGTTTGGGGCATTTCCCACCCCCATATTCCTTTCTTAATTCCTGGACTGCCTTAAAGGATTCCTCCCCATCTGAAATGTAGAGACTAAAGTGAAATGGAGCTATGTAAGCATTCCTGGGTTTCTCACAAGAGGGGAAAAAGCAGCATATAAATACAGTCTAATAATATCTGCAAACCTGTCTGACAGTTATAAAGTGGCATAACTTTGGGTGATGTTCAAGTGTGAAACAAACTGATCAGCAGAAAACCTGTTGGGATTCTGTATGGAGTGTCAAGTAACTCCCGTTTCTAGCAACTTTGTGGTAGGCTGTAGTTTTTGTGCTTGTAGGTCACTTCAGAATGCCTGAATGTCTTTCTGAAGATTTAATTCAGCTGCCTTGCTGGCATATTGATAGAAGAAAGCTGATCCTAGAGAGGCAGGAGTATTGTTGATCTTCCTGTAATAACTCTGCAGCATGAGGCACCTTCTGAATTACTTAAATATATTTTAATCTTGCAGGTGATATAAAATGATTCTGTAGTGGGCTAAGTCATGCTTAGTATTGAAAAAAAATGTTTGAAGCAGGTCATTGTTTTCTGAGTAGATTGTTTTTTTACCAAACTTGTTCCTTGTGCATGGGACCTTAACCATGTAATCTTCTAAAATACTTAGGCATAAATTCCACTAAGGTCATTGTGACTTGTTTCCAAGTAGACCCGTATAGAATTGTGGCCTCAGTTTGGTTTTCTTCTGACACAAGTTTGGTTATTTGCCTCTATCTTCTATACAGTTACTCCTGGTAACTGGGTTTAGAATTGCACTCTTAAAGTTTCAACAAAGAAAAGAGGTGTGTTTTTCCAGCAAAGTAGCATTTCTTTTAGGCTAGTTGTAATCAATGGGATCTTTGCTATACAGAACTCTTATTTTCTAAGTTTTAGTCACCATTTCTTAGTCAGAAAATGCAGTGCAGAAGGGATGGATATACAGATCTAGTCTGGAAAATGAAGGTTAAATGGATCCTCTTCTAGTACTGGCCCACTTAGCTGCCTGAGTCCAGTCTTCCTCTGTGGTATATACATCCCGAAGTTACAGAAACACACTTTCTAAAAAAAGCTCATTAAGTACTGACTCTTTTTCTTAGTAACCCTTTAGGTCATTGTTCCCTGTTGTTCTATTACAACAAGTGTGTTGGGGAACACAAGGGAGCCACACAGAGCATGGATGGTGTACCATGAGAACACAGTGAGGAGAGTAATCTTCATTGCAAACGTTTCCATATAACCTGATCCTGCCTAATTTTGGAAGCTCAGCAGGGTCTGGCTTGGCTGAAATCTGGAGGAGTGACTTAAAACATTGTGAACCACCCACAGCTTTGACTGTGGACAATATAGAAATGTAATGTAGTAGTAAATTGTATGGGTGACAGTCCCAGCAACCATTAGAATCCATTAGTCTGGAGTCTTCTGTAGAGGCTGGAGAGGGTACTCTGATATTTCAACTGAATGTCCAAATGAAGTGGCCTGACCAGCTCTGGAGGAGGCTTTCCACTGTGACTCTTTATGTTGCTCTGCTTGGGTTTGTCTCCTTCCACTGAGGAAGCGCAACTGGAACAGTGGTTTGTGCAAAAGCAAAGCGGGGGGGGCGGGGGGGGCTCATGTGATGGGAAGTGATTCTTAGCCGTGTTGTACTCTGAACCTTTTCAGGCCTAAGACTGAAATTGCATCTGGTTTTTGATTCAGGGGAAAAAGTGTGCTTCCGCTAGTAGGCATTTGCCAACACAGTTCAGACCAGTAGTTACAGGTGGTTGTAGTTCTGCTGTCATCTGTGATCATTGGCGGTGCTGGCTGGGGATGATGGGAGTTGACATAAAACACCAATTTTGGAGCCAAGGCATTTATCAAACTTCAGTTAAGCAAACACCATCTGGATCTGTGCCTCTCCTGGCTACTCATTTTCTTTCCAGGCTAGTCTCCCCATTATGAAGGAGAGCTGAAAGAATGGAAAGTGAGTGAATGGGGCAGGAAATGCATGGGTAAAAACAAGCAGGAAGGAGAGGAGAGGTTTTGGCAGAGAGAGAAACAGTGTGACCTGGGTTTGGTGATAGAACAACCTATCCCAGGTAAGTAGCCATGGCAGGTTGTCATGTCATGCAAAGCCAGCATCCTTTACCCACAGTGGTGCTGGTGACAACCCCCTTCCCCTCTTCTTACAAACAAGCTACCCTGAGAATCCATGGGTTGTTTTAGACTTAGTTTTACCTACTGAACTCGGGTCCCTGCATGGGTAAAGGGAAAGTGGCAAGTGAGGGACAAATCAAGAGCAGCAAGAACCTGCTACTGCTTTTGGCAGTCTCACCTGTGCTGTTGGCAGTGAAATCTCTTTAAAAATGCTCAAGAAGCACACTGAGGGACTGTCACTGGCTGGCCAGCACTTTTTTTAATGTGCCCTAAAAGTGCGCAGGTTTTTCAGTAGAAATTTAAAAAACTCTTTATATTGTCAGACTTGTACAGGTTCAAAAAAAGAAGCCTCAGGTGAGCAATGTCCTGAGGAGTATCTGCTCTTAAAGTGCAGATTCTGACCCTCTACCTGGGACCCAGATAGGGCCCAAACACCTTTTCTCAGTTTGCTTTCCCTTGATAGCTGTCAAAAAGTGAGCTGTCAAGGAAGTAGTCTTTGTTCACAAACAGGGTGGCAGTGAGATTTGCACCCCTTTTGTGACAAGATTCTCATGCT